TACTACCACTCCTGGCTTACATTTCTTTTTTTAAATTGTGTGTGTGTGTGTGCTGCCTGTATGTTTATCTGTTCATCATATGCATGTGGCACCTATGGAGACCAGAGAAACTGGAGCTGCAGACAGTTGTGAGCCACCATGTGGGTGCTGGGAGTCAAACCTAGGTTCTCTGGAAGAGCAGCCTGTGTTCTTAACCACTGAACCAACTCTTCAGCCTCTCTTTTATATTTCTTACTTCATGGTCATAGAATAGCAGCTACAAGCATCTCGTGTGTGTGTGTGTGTGTGTGTGTGTGTGTGTGTGTGTGTGTGTGTGTTGTCTGCATGAATGTCTGTGTACCGTGTGTGCAATACCTGTATTAAGAGGGCGTTGGCTCTCCTTGGGACTGGGGAATTGAACCTAAGTCTTCTGAAAGAGCAGTAAGTTCTCTTAATCACTGAACCATCTCTCCAGCCCCTCAAAGTTTCTTAATCGCAATGAGATGTGTCCCTGGGCACTGGGTGAGTATAAAGGACTTTGGAACATTATTAAAATTGCTATTATCATTAGTGATATGTCCTAAGAGTTTATTTTGTGATCACTCATATTCATTTTCTTGTAAGAAAGCGAGGTTGTTGGGGATGGGGCTATTTGAGTCATTAGCAGCTGACCTCTCCCTTATTGCCCAAGCTGTATTGAGCAAAGGGACTGTTTGTCTACCCAGACCACCCTTAAGCTAGCACCAGCCATCACTGCATAAATGCCTTCGGACAGCTATGCAAAAGACAGCTACTGAGAGGCAGAGCCTCAGTTTGTGTCAAACTTGTGCAATCACAAGCTGGAAGAACCATTTCTAACTTGGCCACAGGGGGCACATTCACCCAGTGGAGGGATTTCTCTGACTGATGGGAAGATCACGATTGGTCCCTTAAAGACTGATTAGTACCACACCAAGCTGTAACTGGTCTAAACCATCCACTCCTGGAAATGTAAGCAGACTCCTCAAGTTCACCTAGTGCACTGACTGGGAGACATTCCCATGTTACCTACCCTGATAGAGCAGTTTCCTGGGAATAAAACATCATCCTGGAGAGGGCTCCTTAAAACTCAGAAAGTCCTAAGTTGAAAGGTCCCTTTAGGAAGGAGCAGGGAGGCTCATATGAAACTCAGGAAGTATACAAACGTCACTGCACAAGATTCAAGATATACAAGCAGCAAACCGAGCTGGCAGGTGGTGGCCCATGCCTTTGATCTCAGCACTTGGGAGGATCTCTGTGAGTTCGAGGCCAGAGTGGTCTGCAGAGTGAATTCCAGGACAGCCAGGGCTACACAGAGAGACCCTGTTTGGAAAAGCAAGCAAGGAAAGAAGGAAAGACGGAAGGAAGGAAGAGAAAGAACGGGAAAGAAAGGAAGGGAGGGAGGGAGGAGGGGAGGAAGGCAAAAAGAGTAGGAAGGAAGATGATTAAAAAGAGGAGAAAGAGGAGGAGGAGACGAAGGAGAGGTAAACCATAGGTAGAGAGAGGGAGTCGAACTCCCTGGAAGACATTGACCCATCAGCTGTCTGGGCTCTGCTCAGAGTGCTCCAGGCTTGCAGCTTTCCTGGGTCTGTCTCTCTTGATGGGGTGGGCCACACCGGATACGAAGATGCAGCAGGGCACGGTGGCAGTAAGGACAGCAGCAGTCTGACAATGGAGGCGGCAGTGTGACAATAAGGAGCACTAGCCGCTCTTGGACAGTGGCTTGAAACCAAAGACTTCCCACCACCCCATGGCTTAAAAGCTGGAGATCTGCTGCCCTTGCCTGGGCAGCACAGTAGAGCAGACCCTGTTGACAGCCGCAAGGGGGAGCCTATGCGGAGAACAAGAGCATGGAGATCTGGCCCCGCCCCTCATCTGCTTACGGTGGGGGGCGTGGCAAGGGGGAGGTGCCTCCCCACCACCCCACCCTACCTCCACCATCCGCAGTCCCTCACTGCCTGTGGCTGTGGGAGAGCTGGTCCTGAGCTCCTAAGAGCTGTCCCTCTCTGGAGAGTGGCCCTTGTACCTCACCTGGGCAACACCTAAGTAGAGCTGGATCTGATGGTGTAGTTGAGGGAGAGCTGAGCCTCAGAGCATGAAGCTGGAGAACAGGTCCCACCCCTTGCTCGTCCTCTACTGCAAGGGGTGAACTAGCTGAGGCAATGCAGGAGGGCTCATCCTGGTTGTGAGAACAAGGGAGAGCTGGCAGGCTGAGCAGTCCAGCAACCACCGCGTCCAGACCCAGGGCTATGTGTTGGCCCACCCCATCTAAGATCTGCTGGGACATGAGAAGGGGCTGGTCTTACAGACCCGAAGCTGTAGGGTTTCCATGACACAGGACAACAACGGGGCATCCCAGAGGAGTCCCAGGGAGGGCCCGGCACTGAGAGCGTAGCGGAAACCACAAATGATCGTTGCAATAAACACTTGCAAGCAAAGATGTCCAGACTAAAGGGTACATTACAGCTTCCATAATGAGATGATTCTTTTTTCTTTTAAATTTCATTTTATCTTATCCTGGTGGGGAGGTTGCAAGGGCAGATACAAAAGGATGGGGAGATGAATGGGATCAAGATGCATGATGGGAATCCACAAAGAATTAAAAGTTAAATTAGGAAAAAAAAAAAAAAAAAAAAAAAAAAAAAGCTGATGCTCCATAAGGGGACTTGGACACTGCCTAGTACTGTGTGAGCCAATGGAACCTGGCACTGCCTCTGAGCTCCAGGCTCCCAGATACAGCGGCTGAACAGCTTGATGAAGTCTGCTAGCCTCAGAGGCAACCACAGTGGCTAGCCGCTGTCTCCCATACTGTCCGCTAGGCGTGGGAACAATGTGCTACCATGAGAACCTGTTTCTGGAGCTGGGACCTTGGCTTCACAGCCCAAAATGCGCCCACTTGATTGTGGAAGGGCTGGGGGAGGACTTGACAGGACCACTTGGCAGCTAAAATGGTGTTTGCCTGCAGAAGCCTGGGACCCATCTGACAGTGCTGGTAAGGTAATGCGGCCTGGAACCAACCGGCTGATCTACCCAGAGATCCTATCTGCTCATAAGCATCCCACCTCTGGGATGTCCAGGTCTACACCGAGGCCCAGCTGCCGAATGACCCTCTAGGTATTTGGCTACCAAATGCTTTCCTAACAAAGGCAGCCGCGGGCAACTGAAGGAGCTTCTGGAAGTTCGACAGTGGCCGAGTCTTAAAGTGGAAGAGAGACAAGAAAGTGGAGAGCCGATTAAAGCTGTGATGCAGCCCGAGAGGAGAACATGCAGGCTCCATCTGCAACAAGAGTCCCAGAGAGCTGTGAAGTCATCCGAGCTAAGAACCTCAGAATGTGCGGCGCTCAGCCGAGGGACCTGACACTTAGGCTAGCACATCAGCTGCTTCAGGAGACACAAGCTCCTAGAGGCCAGCACCTGCACAGCTTTCCTCCTCCCATCACCCACAATTCTTCTCTAGGCAGAGCAGAAGTTGCCAGCTAGGTGATAACAAGAGTATTTTCTAGAGCTGATTCCTTTGAGTAAGATCCTGTTTACTTATTTCCAATAATCTTACATATTTTAAACTCCAGACTTTTATGGCAAGAATAAAACTTTGTTTAAGCAAACTTTACTATAGAGTTTCATATTTCTTGCAATATACACAGTATATACAGTATGTAATTTTTTTGTGGGTCAGGCATTGGTGGCCCACGCCTTTAATCCCAGCACTTGGGAAGCAGAAGCAGGCAGCTCTCTGTGAGTTGGAGGCCAACCTGGTCTACAGAGTGAGTTCCAGGACAGGCTCCAAAGCTACACAGAGAAACCTTGTCTCAAAGAACAAAAAAAAAAAAAAAAAAAAAAAAAAAAAAGGAAATTTCAGTTAAGTGCCTTCTATGATAACCTGGGTGTTAATGTCTTAGATTATCCCTTCATCTCTAAAAGGCAGTATGTTGGTTTATTAAACTAGTCCCCGTTATTATCCATTTGTATAGGGTTTGCTTTAGCAGCCATAAAAACTGCTTTAGTACCTCTTCCTCTCTGACCCTGGCTGGAGTCCAGATGTCACTCACCGGGCTTGCTAGACCTCTTATCTGCAGCCCAACCATCCTCCCCTCTCCATGGCTGCTCCACCCCAACCGTGACTAAAATGTGATCTATGGCGTCCTCCAGCCCCACACCCACTTACCTCTGTCCCTTACTGTGTTCTCACAGATTTTGAGTGTCAAATTATTCCCGAACGAAAAACAATTGTGTAGCTACTTCTGCCTCCAGATAGAAACATTCCCTCCTGGAGGGACAGGAGGAAGGCTCATAAAACTCACAAGGCAATTTTAAAACTCACAGGAAACCTACAAGGCTGTGAGGACCCGCTCTGAACCAAGAAGCAGTAAACACTCGCTGCAGAGAGGAACCTCTCTGCTGGAGATGCCTGCACGCTCTACAGTGTGGTGATATTGGACTCCAGAAGCATGGCCTTCCTGAGCCCTCACCATGCTCCTGAGGAAGGCTTCACTCACGCACCTGTAATAATCACAATAAACTAGTTGGTCCCAAGCTAGACTGGATCCTCGGGTTTTTGTTTTTGGTTTTGTTTTGTTTTGTCTTGTCTTGTCTATCTTCTGTGTTCTAGCTGGGGCAAACAGACACTTACTTACATCTTCCCAGGAAAAGTCACAGAGAAAATGTCACCAACAGAAAACGGAAAAATCATCCTCTTCCCCAAAGGACTCTAATGAAAACCAGAGATGAAGTCAGGTGTAGTCAGTCACTGGGGGGGGGGGGGGGAGAACCCATCTGACGCTGACGGGTTGCAGCCGAGGAGGAACCGATTTGTGGTCTATCAAGGTCACTGTCATGGCTGTGCCAAACTGGAAATGTCACCACTGTCTGGATAGCTGGACACATTTTATTAAGAACGTAATTTTCTTTGTTTCTATGTTCTGTACTAGCAAGTGGTCCATTATAAGAATGGGAAGCCTCTTTTTTTGTGGGGGGAGGGGAGAAACAAGGGAGGGGGGAGGGGGCCCAGGCAGTTCCCTTTACAGAAGAGCCTCTGATGTGTTAGCACCTTTAATGATGGCTTACTTGACTCACAGACCATCATGTACCTAGCTGCCTGGTTCTGCCCTTGCTCCTCCACCTAGCTGAACCCAGATACAGCCCAGGAGAGCCAGTGTAGGGCGGGGAGTCTTCAGGGCAGGGGTTAGGGGGGGCTGCCTGGCTGTAGCCCTGGCCCTTCTGCTTTGCTCCTAAAGGGTTTAACTCAAGAACGGCTTCTTTTCTATAGTTATGTAGACGAACAATACAATGATGAAAATGCCCAGGATGGCCAGCTTCAAGCTCCATGGGAAGCTGTTGCCAGGGCTCTGGCACAGAAGGCTGCTCTCCGGGTTCTGGGTCTCTTGGCAGAAGTCCTCTTTGGTGACACACCTGTGACCACTCCTCGGAATGGGTCTTGCAGCACACCTGAGGGGACATTTCAGAGGCTCCTAAGATTGTAATCAGCTGCTTCCTGATCACTTCTTAGGGAAATGTGTGCAACCTGGTGCCCCATGGGAGCAGCCCTAGACCCGCTGAAAACCTGTGCTAAGATCCAAATCTATCAACCCATGTCAGCCCAAGGGATGGCTCTCAATACAGCAGAGCATTTCCTTCCACTGCTAACGGCCTTTGAAACACTCAGTGCTGGCAAAGTCTGCCTCCAGGGACCTTGGGTCTCTGGTTCCCCAATGGGAAGCTTTACACGTGACACAGAGTCTTAACAGGCCCTGTCTTCCTGTCTGCACAGACCCAGCAACACCATTCCAAGTAGACATAAAAGTGTCTACCATCTTCCTTAAAAATCAGCACTAGGTTTAGCACTAGGTACCCGCCTGTGTAACCTTTGACCTGAAGTTCTGGCTAATCTAATCCTGCAAGACTAATTAATGTCTCCTCAGAAGTTAGAGAACGTTAACCAGGGAAGGCAGAAGGGTCAGAAGTTAAAAGTCATCCTTAGCTAAAGAGCAAACTCAAAGCAGCTGCAATACGTGTGACCATGTCTTAAACACCCCCACCCCCCAAAGAAAATAGTTATGGAATTTTCTAGAACATAATGAGGGTTGTTGTTTGGTTGAGCCATTGGTTGGCATTTGGACCCAGGACCTCACGCTCTCCCACCGAACTACACCTTAGACCCCACTTCTGGCTAATAAACTCACCTATAGTCTAGCTTTTATCAGAGCCATGTTCCTTTTAAAATTCTAGCTCTTATCCAGTTTCCAAAACACAGCCAGATGACTACAAAGGACAGACTTGGGGTCTGGTCTATGTTCCTTGAGACTTTTGATACCCTGTCAACACCCTCCCTCTTCCAACACCGGTTATTTTAATCACCAAATATGAATGATGAGATACAGACTTTGGCTTTGAAATTATGCCTTTCACAAGTCTGTCTTCTTTCTCAGCCGGCTCTCCTTAGGTTCAAAACCTTCACAGGCATCTGTATAATGAATCCCACCTCCCAATAATACCTATGTCTTCTTATGTTACCAAAGGTGTTACCTGAGGCTGGGCATGCAGTTCAGGGTAGAGCTCTTGGCTAGCATGCCCAAGGCCCTAGGACACAGTAATATCAGGCTTTACCTGCCTCCCTTTGTGGGCTTCTGGCTCAGGTAGTAGATGTCTAAGACTCTTCTTTTATTAGTAGAAGCCTCGGGTCTCTGATATAAAAAGAAAATACCAACAATAATTTATTTGCAATGTCCTGTAACTTGGTTTTTATGTCGGAAAAAAAATCAATCTGAAAACTGGCCCAAGTTTAAATATTTGAGTTTGTCTTTCCTGGGTGGCCACCAAAAGCGCCATTTTACTTCAGTGACTCACAGGACAGTAGACACCTGGGTGACTTGGTCACGTGGTGAAAACACCATTCTGTTACTGAGCATTAAATCCATTTCCTGTCTTTCCTCTTCTTTTCTAAATTGTGGCTTGGAATTTTGTTTTTTGTTTTTTTTTTTCTTCCACTTAAACAAATAAGCATGTCATTTCTATGTAAATAATTGAAAATATGTTGTCTGTAAACAAATGCTAGAAAAACAACGTAGGAAATGAACCATTTCTCTTTAAGAGATTTTGCATAACTTGGAACAACTAAGTTTTCTTTTTACAAAGACTTACTTTCATTTCTGTGTGTGTGTATGTCTGTCTGTCTGTCTTATGTGTACAGGGGCCCAGGGAGGCCTGAAGAGGGTGTCAGATCCCCTGGAGCTGGAGTTATAGGTGGTTGTGAGCTGCCAGACATAGGGTTCTGGGTACCAAACTCAGGTCCTCTGCAAGGGCAAGATGTGCTCTTAAACACGGAGCAATCTTTCCAGCCCCTGTCTTTGTTTTTTAACAAAAAAAAAAAAAAAAAAAAAAAACCTTTGGGGACTAGAGAGATGGCTCAGCACTTAGGAGCACTTAACATGTGTCCTGTAGCTCTAACCTAAAATATGTTATAGTATACTTAGCCTGTGTTCTGTGGTTCTAACCGACACAGGTTATAGTGTACTTAACTCGTGCTCTGTGGCCTTAACATACATACATTGTAGTGTACTTAACCAGAATTTTTATTTATCTACTCAGAAAACATTTGTTGTGAGTTTTTTGGGGGGCATAATTTTTTATTTTATTAATTTATTTTTTACATTCCCATCCCAGTTCCCCCTCTCTCCTCTCCTCCCGCCCCCCCTCCCTCCACCGCCTATCTCCTCCTTGGAGAGGGTAAGGCCTCCCCTAGGAAGTCTACTAAGTCTGTCCCATCATCTCATTGAGGCAGGACCAAGGCTCCTCCCCACCCCCACACTCCTGTGTCCAGGCTGGGCAAGGCGTCTCTCCATACAGAATGGGCTCCACTAAGTCAGTCTGTGCATTAGTGTTAGGTCTTGGATCCACTGCCAGTGGCCTCACATACCATCCCAGTCACACCATTGTCACCTATATTAAGGGAGTCTAGTTCCGTCTTATGCAAGTTTCCCATTTGTCAGGCCTGAGTCAGTGATCTCTCACTAGCTCGGGTCAGCTGATTCTGTGGGTTTCCCCATCATGATCTTGACTCCTTTGTTCATATTATCGCTCCTCCCTCACTTAGATTGTACTCCGGGAGTTTGGCCCATTGGTTAATTATGGATTTCTGCATCTGCTTCCATCTGTTTCTTGAAGAGGGTTCTAGCTTCTCTGGAGTTATGGATTGTAGGCTGGGTATCTTTTGTTTTATATCCACTTTGAGTGAGTACATACCATATTTTTCTTTCTGGTTTTGGATTACCTCATTAAGATGGTTTATTCTAGTCCTGTTCATTTGTCTGAGCATTTTAGGATGTCATTGTTTCTTACTGCTGAGTAGTACTCCATTATATAAATATACCACATTTCTTTATCCATCCTCCAGTTGAGGGGCATCTAGGCTGTTTCCAAGATCTGACTATTCAAATAATGTTGCTAAGAACATAGTTGAGCAAATGTCCTTGTGATGTGAGTGTTCCTCCTTTGTGTATATGCTCACCAGTGATGTTGCAGGGTCTTGAGGTAGGTTGATCCCTAATTTTCAGAGAGGTCACCATACTGATTTCCACAGCAGATGTACAAGTTTGCACTCCCACCAGCAATGGAGGAGTGTTTGTCTTTCTCCACATCCTCTCCAGCATAAGCTATCACGGTGTTTTTTATTTTAGCCAATCTGATCAGTGGTTTTGATTTGCATTTCCTTGATGACAAGATGTTGAGCATTTCCTTAAGTGTCTTTCCACCATTTGAGATTGCTCTATTGAGAAGTCTCTGTTTAGAACTGTAACCCATTTTTTAATTGGATTATTTGGTAGTTTGATTTCTAGTTTCTTGAGTTCTTTGTATATTTTGGCGATCAGCCCTCTGTCAGATGTGGGGGTTGGTGAATATCTTTTCCCATTCTGTAGGGAGCCGTTGACCGTGTTCTTTGCTTTACAGAAGCTTCTCAGTTTCAGGAGGTCCCATTTATTAATTGTTGCTCTGAGTGTCTGTGCTACTGGTGTTTCATTTAGGAAGTGGTCTCCTGTACCTATGTGTTCAAATGTATTTCCCACTTTCTCTTCTATGAGGTTCAATGTGGATGAATTTTATTGAGGTCTTTGTTCCATTTGGACTTGAGTTTTGTGTGTGGCACTAGATATGGATCCATTTGCATTGCTGTGCTGTTAAAAATATTTATTTCCTTATCTTCTTATTCATTTAACATGTGTATATACATTCCTGAGTATGTGAATACACACCATGCTTGTGCCTTGCCCAAGGAGGCCAGAAGGTGTTGGGTTCTCTGGAACGAGAGACAGTTGTGAACCACCATGTGGGTGCTTGGGACTGAACCCAGGTCCCCTGGAAGGGAAGGAAGTGTTCTTAAGCACTGAGCTAGCTCTCCTTTTGGTGTGTTGTGTTTTACTGACATGTCAGGAGGTCTGTGGCTACTGAGACCACACACTATCCAAACCACAGTCATGGAAGATCCTGTGTAAGCACGCCATTGGTTAGATCTTGGTCAGCTGGCTATCACGGCGCTATGTCCTGTTCCTCTTGTCCCCCTAGAGCCCTGGGACTTGAGAAAGAATAGGCTTCCCACCACCGGTGCGCTGTCTGATGTACAGGACAAACAACCAATCACTGACCAAAAAGGAGGGCTGGCTACCCCAACAGAACAATAACCCAAGGCAAACCAAGGGGACCGTAAGACCAGAGAGGCTGGGCATGGGTGTGTGGCACAGGGGACAACAAAGGGGACAGTGGCATCTAGAGGTTCCCAGGGCAAAGCACCTTGGTCTCTGAATACTGTCAGGATGCTCACCGGCACGTCTAAAGTGGTGACTGGACTGTCACAGACCCATCTGCAGTTCCAAGGGCTTTGGCCTGGTAGGGCCAGGTGTAACGGCTCCACCTGGTTGTGAGCATGGGAAGGCTGCAGTCTTCGGCCCCTCCCTCCTCTGTCCTTCAAAGAGGGTCTCTCAGCAGGGGCCCGGATGCAGGGTCTGCCGCTGTGCTTCCGTCTGCTCATGGGACTGCTGGTCCTCCCCCCCCCCCCACCTCCTAAACACCGGTTCTCAGGCACGGTTCTCAGGCACAGTTCTCCTGCAAGGTCCCCCACACACAGCCACGTGTGCCCAGCAAGAGCTATCTTGCGCTGTTCCCGCGGGTACTGGAAAATCTTTTTGTTGAGCAAATTCCATTTTTAAAAGCCTTTGACTTTTAGGAAGAATTTAAACACACAGGAAAGTAGACAATCGTGTAGCGAGCCTCCACACGCCCGCCCGTCGCACACCACTTTTTTCTTGAAGATAGAAATAGGAAGTTTAAATAAAGCACTACGGATAGAAGTCTACTGCAAAATAAAATTACAGGATTTCACGGCTCTCAGGCAATCAGATACTCCCTCCTTTTTCTTCCTGTCCTAAGTAGTTTTAGCTCGTTTATTCCTTTCCTTCCCTTCTTGTTGAGATGACAACTTGCAATGTTGTCCAGAATGGCTGGATCCCTGGAGTCAAGCCATCTGACAAGCCGGGACTGCAGATGTGGATCAGACACTAGTCTATCCCAGTTTTAGTTTGTTTTGAGACAGGGTCTCTCTCTGCAGCCATGGCTGTCCTGGAACTGACCATGGCCGCGAACTCACAGAGATCGTCCTGCCTCTACCTCCTGAGTGCTGGTCTACCTTATTTTTAAATAAATTGATTTGATATGTAGTACATATACACACACATATGTGTATCCCATTCACATATAGGGTTCTGGTGATGTAAAGGGTAGACTTTTTTTTCCAATATAGAGTAATTATAGCCTGTCCACTTGAATGTGTAGCATCAGAACCACGACTGAACTACCAACAATGTTGTAAAGACTATCTCAGCAGAAGGGTCGCCAGTATGTCCACTGGCAAACAGTAGGAAATCTTTCACACACAGCAATGTCAGCTGTCCACACACTACATCCTCATACAAATACGCCTAGAAGAAAAGAACAAAAACAAAACAAAACCGAGCTTTGTAACAGTTGGTGTCTGTAGCTGATTTATATTTCCTCCCCCCACCCCCAGACAGAGTTTCTCTGTGTAGCCCTGGCTGTTCTGGGACTCACTCAGTAGATCAGACTGCCCTGCAAACTCAAGAGTTCCGCCTGCCTCTGCTTTCTGAGTGCTGGGATTAAAGGTGTGCGCCACCATGCCCAACCTATCCATGCTTCTTTTCCCCCCATGGAATCAATAAGGCAATCAGAGCCCAGTGCTGGCCTGGGCGTGGTGGTACACACCTGGAATGGTAGCACACCGGAGGCTGAGGTAAGATGATCAAGTTCAAGACCAGACTGGACTACAGACAAAACTTTTTTTTCCCTTTCTTTCTTTCTTTCTGATTTATTTATTTATTTATTTATTTTTGACAACAGGGCCTCTTTATATAGCCCTGACTGTCCTGGGACTTGGTCTGAGTTCCAGGCTGGCCTAAAACTCACAGGTATCCACCTGCCTCTGTCTCTGAAGTGCGGGCCACCTCTCTTGCTGGAGACTTAGCAAAACAACCATAAAAGAGGTGCAGAGCAGGGGGAGTGTGTGGTCTCCTTTGCTTCTCTGCTCTACGCCCCTGAATTCGAGTCAGAGAATCCTGCTTATCAGGAGCCCAGCGCTGGCCATGGCTGTCATAGTAAATACAAGACATCAGAGACGCGC